CCACCAGATCTGACCTGTCCAAATGTGTCGGGAACCTTTAAGACCTAAGAATTTCTAGTCTGGTCATGGGTCTGGCTAGGTGGCTCTGAGCATCTCCTTTGTGCTATGCTTGGCCCTCCTGAAGCCTTTGCTGTTTGAAGCCTTGCTGTTCTAGATTACCTCGCAGTTCTGCTGTGCAATGAAATTGCTGGTCACCATAACAATAATTACCTGGCTGACTCTGACTCATGTTTCTCCTTGTCACAAAACTGTGACTGCTCTTCTTTGAGGTGTCAAAATATTTTTTTAATGAATTATAGTTGATTTACCATGTTTCAGGTGTATTCAGTTTTATACACACACACACACACACACACACACACACATATATAAACATATATATGTGTTTTCCAGATTCTTTTCTATTATAGGTTATTACAAGATTTTTAGTATAGTTCCCTGTGCTATATAGTAGGTCCTTGTTTTTTATCTATTTTATATATAGTGGTGTGTATCTGTTAATCCCAAACTCCTAATTTTTCCCTCTCCTGCCTTCCCCTGTGGTAACCATAAGTTTGTTTTCCATGTCTGTGAGTCTTTCTGTTTTGTAAATAAGTTCATTTTTATCATTTTTTTCAGATTCCACATAGAAGTGATATCATATATTTGTCTTCCTCTGACTTACTTCACTTAGTATGATAATCTCTTGATCCATCCATGTTGCTGCAAATGGCATTATTTCATTCTTTTTTATGGCTGAGTAATATTCTATTGTATATATCTAACACATCTTTATCCATTCATCTGTCGATGAGCATTTAGACCTGGTTGCTTCCAGGTCTTGGCTATTGTACATAGTGCTGCTATGAACATTGGGGTGCATGTATCTTTTTGAATTAGAGTTTTTGTCTTTTCTGGATATATGCCCGGAAGTGGGATTGCTACATCACATGGTAACTCTATCTTTAGTTTTTTAAGGAACCTCCATACTGTTCTCCATAGTGGCTTCACCACTTTACATTCCCACCAACAGTGTAGGAGGATTCCTTTTGCCACACCTTCTCCGGCATTTATTATTTGTAGACTTTTTAATGGTGGCCATTCTGACCGGTGTGAGGTGATACCTCATTGAGGTTTTGATTTGCATTTCTCTAACAATTAGCAACACTGAGCATCTTTTCATGTGCCTGTTGGCCATCTTTATGTCTTCTTTGGAGAAATGTCTATTTAGGTCTTCTGCCCATTGTTTGATTTGGTTGTTTGTTTGTTATTGAGCTTCATGAGCTACTATGACCCCTCTTGACCCATGCTGGAGGATGGTGCTGTGTGGCAGGTAGCCTCTGAACACTGCCCAGTTGGCTTCTGTGACTTGTGCCAATGTTTTTGCCTCATGCCTGCCTTGGGAGTCCCTGGCGGTCATGAAAATTTTTCCCCAGGCTCTTCCCTCAGCCAGGACTCATAGGCCCATTGCCCATTCATTGTCATCCCTGGGCACAGTGAGTGCATCCTCTCTGTAGCAGGAAAGAGCCTTTCATCAGTTTGGAATGCTTTATCCCTTAGGGTTTAGATCTTGGTGATGCTCTAGGCTGTGGGATTGGGAGGGTAGGAGAGAGTTTCAGTTGCTAGTTGGGTATAAGTCCTTGGGCCCAAATCCCTCTCACACTAACTTCTGCATTCCTGGGATTCTAATGGTTTCATTTGCTCTAACTATTAAGCACCATGGCTGCTGTTCTATATTAGATTCCTATTAGACATTAGTTAAGACATATAAAAGGAGTGTGTAGATGCTCAGATGGTCCTACGTTAGGTCAAGTATGAAGTGAAAATCTCCCCCCACGCCCATCAGCATTCAGACAAATTCACAGTTCTGTGCTCCTTTCTGCAGCTGACAATTTGATATGGCTAGTAGTTTGTCTTGTATCTAAACTGCCTCAAACTTCCTTTGCTAAAGGCATTCCCCATGTTTGGATTCAATCCACCCACTGACTGCTACTTATCCAATACCTCCCTGTGCTAGGTGTACAGGGGAGGCAAAGAAGCCTAATACTCCTCTTTTCTAGGAGCTTTCAGGCCAGTTGGAGAGACTGGAGGCGGGTGTATAAAGAGGAAATGTACATTAAGTGAGATAAGGGGATGGGGAGGGGATAACTGCACAGCACTGTTAAAACCACGATTACGGATTGCTTGGGTCAGGTTAACCATGGTTGAGGGGTGGCAGGGATCTAGACAAACTCACCGCAGGGCAAGCCTTTATTTAGGCAGCCCAAGCTGCTGAGCTGATTGCTCTCCCAGAGGGGAGGGCGCCCTCTCAGTATCATGGTCCTGGGGAGACTGCGTCCCACTTAGCTGGAGCGGTGCTGTTGAAAGATAATCCAGAGCTGTCCATCATTTTGTTTTAACTGACATTTGGGGGTTATCTGTGTTTTTCCAGCAGCCTTCCTTCCTTCAAATTTGGTTGATTATCAAACCAGTTTGCTCCTGGATAATTAAGAAGTAAAAGTATATATTTAGGCCATTACAAGGCAAAAGTTAACTCAAGTCCCACCTCCTCTTTGAGTTGACTCCCAGAGTTAGGTGACCTGATTGGTCTTTCTCCTGCGGCTCTGCTTCTACTCCTTTCATTGTGTTTTAGCTCAATCATGGGCTAAACTGACTTTTGTAATATGAAGGGGGTTATAACCCTCTTCATGGCATGGTTTCTGTAGGAAACTATTCTGTCCTGAGGCACAGCTGCCTCTCCTTCGACCCCTCCCACAGCAACACATGGGCAACTGCTCTGTCAACTCCCTGGGTCCGGGGAGGGGAGGGGAGGAGGGAGGGGAGAGGGTCAGGGATTGAACTCATACACAAAGCAGAGAGAGAGAGAGAGAGAGAGAGAGGGAGGGGGAGGGGAGGGAGGGGAGGGAGGAGCAGCAGGTAGGCCTCACTCCTCTCCTTTCAACATTCAACCAGAGCTGCTTGCTTTTTATCTTGACTGTATATATGTTGGGCTTCAGCATATGATTCCTTTCAAACATTGAATCCTGCTGTTAAGCGAAAACTATTGAAAACCACTGTTTTAAGAAAGTGGGTATGAAGAGGA